TTACCAAACCGGTAAGTGCTTACCAACAAAAATTAACACTATCATTTACTTACAGGGTAAGATTTTAGTTCATCAAAACAGCATCATATGCAACAATTTACCCCCGGTAAGCATTTACCGTGGTAAGAGTCGTTGCCCTCACTTACCGGGTAAGACTCTTGGTCCTTGTCTTGCTCTTACTGGGTAAAAATTTTTGTCCTTACCATATTCATCCGATAATGTAATGTGATTTGGTAAGCGCTTACTCGGGTAAGCATTTGGTAAACGGCTCCTTAGGTTTTCCTTTACTTTATATGTAGTTTTTATAGGTTAAGAGAATGTAAGGGGCCGTTTACTAAACTCTAACCTTGGTAAGCGCTTACCAGTTCAATTACATTACTCTGTGAACATAACGACTTTGAATCTTACCTGGTAGGAGGGTAGACAAAGTGTCTTACTCGGTAAGCGCTTACCATCAATCCATTTTGATGGCTGTGAATGTTATCCCATAAGATAAATTAGAGTGGTGACTCTTGTCGGTAAGCGTTTATCCGGTAAGCGTTTGGTAAACGGCCCCTAAATCAACTTTTATAAATTCAATGATTTATTTATTTAATATAATGTTCAGTGACTTAATCATTTAAAATAAATTTTTTTTAATAATTTTCATTTAAATAATATTTTTATGGATTTAATCATTTTAAAACGGAAAGGTTCGTTGGATTTTTTGAACTTTTCCCTAAAATTTATTAGGTTAGTTTAATTTGATTTGGTTTTTCAACAATTTAATTTATATGCAAAAAGTACAATTTATTGGCTCGTGAAAAGCAAGATTCAAAATGGCATGTGGTGTGGCAGGGAGGTGAATTATGAAAACACGTTATGATGATGACTCGACGTTTTTCAAGATGTGACATAAGACTACAAATTTGTATGCTATATTTGTAAAATTATACATATATATATGTATTATATATTTTTCAATCGGATAATAATATTTAAAAAATTATATTCATATTAGAAAAAAAATTAAATAGATTATTATTAAAAATAGTATTTAATTAAATATTTAAAATAGAACTTACAAAAGTAATTTTATTATTTTGTTTTAATTAAATTTTTGAAACTATGAATAATGTGATTAGATAAACCTATAAAAATACAAATATAAAGTTAAAAGTTTAAAAACACAAATAAAAAAAAATACAAAAAAAAATATTTTTTTGAAAAAGTCGCACATTGAAAAAATCGCAAACCCAAGCCACATAGGTTGGTCGAGTTAGTCAGTTGATACTTTGGTACATTAAAGTATTCTCCTAACTTATATGTTGTTTTATCTACTCATAATTCATTTTTCATCATTAACTGTTTGATACAATTTATTCATACTTCTTAAATTTTAAGTATATAACATTCAACTAATTTTCTCAATTTGCATATATATATATATATATATATATATATATAGGGGTCTAATCAAATGAGAACTAATTAGTTTGTGGTAACTGTGATAACCAATATTAACCACAAATCAATAGATAAATTAGGAAATTTATAATTTTGACAATTTTGAATTAAAATTTTAATGCAAGAATATTT